CCCGTGCACCAATTCGACCCCTCGACCCATTACGCGCATCAAGGTACGATGCGCGTTCTTTGCTCGTGCTCGCACCCTTGTCGCCAACCGACTCCAAGTGCTCGCCCGATCTCTTAAGCTCTCCCGACGGCCATGGATCCCATCCATCCAACCCAATACAATCACCAGCTCTCCAAATCCAACCATCCTCCGTTCTACTCTTACCTCCCCTTCGATCCACCATCTTGCGAACTCGCCTTTTCCTTGCACAAGGCTTGCACCAACACTTCTCCTCTTTAGCTTTTGCCTTGTGTTTCCTTCGAGCTCGTTTGGTCTTGCGTCTCCTAGGCTTCAACTTCGCTCGTGGACCACATACTTTTGGCCAATCTCGTACACATGATGGCCGGTATATCGGGCTTGATGGCTCCTCCAACATATTTTCTAGCCAAATATCGAGACCATTGCCATCATCATTGTCGGACTCACCGGGGTTGATGACCACTTCCGTATCAATGACTGCCGGTGCACTGCTGCCGCTGTGTGCGGGCAGCGCGGCCACGACCGACCCTTGCCGGTCGTCCGGCGACTTCACTCGACCGATTCAACGTAAAACAACATGATTCAACATAAAAATGTTCATAACAACTTAACCTCCTGAAGTTGAACAAGATAACATGAATTTTGTGGCTCGACGGACCCTCATGGCCGATGGCGTGCGCCCGTGCGCCGCCTATGGCGTTGAGCCATTTTTCTCGACCGAACGTGAATTTCTCCCGACAAACATAAACCAACTGAATATGTAACAACATAACATGATCAAATAAACATGATTCATTTGGGAGATTACTAACATGAATTAACATAACTCGGTAGGATACGAAATGGCCCGTGGCGTGCGCTATCTGCGCAGCTCACGTCCCTCGGCCAATTCACCGACCCAATAACAACTACCCTCGACCAACTAACTTGATTTTTCGTAAAATAACATATACTGGCTGAATACATGAAAATTATTCGAGAGTTTACGAAATAAAACGAACATGCTCCACACGATTAAAAATGGTACGGCCAAGAGCTACTTAAGGCCAATACTTTAACTTGATTAACATGATGTAGGTTGAACATGATACTACTAATTTAGAGAAGAGATATCCCAAGCGATTACCTCTCCACTTGCTCGCCCGGCACAAAATGCTCGTGATCACTCGGAATTCGGTGCTTCCGTGCGTACGGCTAGGGCTCTCGTGCAGTACTCTCTAACTCAAGAAGCTCTCTACTTTCTCTCTATACTTAGTATAATTTAGGAGCTTAAAGTGGCTGAAATTATCCCCAACTCCTTCTATATATGATGACCGAGGGAAAAAATAAAGAGGTGGGGGATAAATTCACTAGCCACTAACATCACGCCATTTGCTAGAATTGGAGACTTAAGGGTGCTTAATCACCACTTAACTAGCTTAGTCATCAATTAAGCTCTTCACATGATGCCACCTCAAACTATTTGAAAGATGACAATTCTCCTCAATTTATCCTCAAAATGCTCACGGCTTTTATTTAAAAAAATTGAGCAATTTCCCTTAATTGCCTACGGCATTAAGTGGTTGAACATGATTAATTACTAATTAAGTATAATCTATATGCTCAATTAATTACCAAGCATGATGCTTAATTACCAAAATTATTCCGAACGTAAACGTGACTTCGAAAATAATTTCGGATAATCTCGACTGAAATAATTAATTCCGAACCCATTAATTAAATAAACGAATCAGAATTAAATCTGGAAACTTATTCGGTTACTGAAATAATTAAACCGAATAATTTATCGACTAATAGTCGGACTTTAATTGAAACTGAATAAATGGCTTGAATTTAACTTTTGACGATTAACTTAATTAATACGTCGACATTGGAATAATTAATCCCAACCTGATGATGTCCATTTATTAATATAAACGGACTGAGATTAATTACTATCTTTGACTCGGTTAATAAATAAAATTAACCGGATATATATATATATATATTGACTTAACCTCGAACTTGGAATATAACTAGCTGATTAACCTGAACTTGAACATGAACATGATTATTCATTAACAAAGGCTAGCTTAACATTAAAAGCTAGTATTTTCCTTTATTAATAAAACTCGGGGTGTTACATAATTTGCGGGATAATTGAAAAGATTAGTGGATCTTCAGCTTTTCTTTTTGGCTTTTTTTTTTTGGATTTTTCTTGAGGAGTGATTGTGTCTCTAATATGGGAAGTGAGTGGTTTGCGTCTGCTAGTGGAGTGTTGTATCGACTTTTGTGTCTAGCGTGTTGGGCTCTAGTATACCCCTCGTGTTGTATCTAGTTTAATGTCTTGTGTGTTTAGCTCTAGGTATAGCTAGATCCCCTCGTATAAGTCATGCGTCAGATGCAAAGGTGATTTGTATTGCCAGGTGGGTAATTGGTTGAATTTATTTTCAAGTGTTCAAAATGTTGTAAAAAAATGTGGAGTGGTAGATTAAAATTTGTTCGTGTTGATGTAACATAAACCATGATATACGCAACAATTACTACGTCTTTTTCTCAAGATAAGACAACTCAAAATATGCAGATTGCACTATTTAATACACTCACCTAGGGGTGAGCATGGTGCGGTTCGGTGCAAAACCGCACCGAACCGCAAAAAACCGAAAACCAAATTTTTTCATTTACCCAAA